GCTGACGGCCCATAAGGAGCATGGGGCCACATGCATTGGCAGAGGCAAAACAGCAAGCGGCCAAGCAGCCATGAGAAGGACTATGCACCCTTACCGGGTATGATTTCGCATAGGTGCATAAAGGCATAAATATTTGTTTGACGTGTTGTGCCAGAGTGTGTTGGTTAGACGACGTCACTTTGTAATGTTCATTACAAGGATAACTGGGTGAAAAACGTAGAAACAAAGAGAGCGAACGCGTTCTTTTTTCACAGATACCGCCATACTGCAGTATCAACTGGTCCGGCAGTCTGTGTTATTCTTAATGCTCCCAGTGTAGCATGCTCCCATTTTTCGTTTGGAAGTAGAAATCTGGTTCAAGTTGTCGCCGGTCGTTAATCACCGATACCTATTGGCGCGTTTGACTGAATCGTACTTCAAAAGAACGTATTCGGCGTCTGTGAGATGCTTTAGCACGCGGCTAAAAGTCGTTCGTCTTACGGAGTTGAGTCCGTAGACAGCGTGAATCGACAGACGTAGTATACTTTAATGGTTGTTAAACGAGGAAATTCATTTCAGGCCTGTTGCATGACTTAATGAGATGCCAGCATTTAGCTTAATGTCAAAACTTGCCAGAAAGGCCGGGCAAATAGTCACAGCAGTAGATGTTTCGGCAAATGCACAGTGTGGAACCTCAGTCGAGGTTCAGCAGAATGCAGGTCCGAACAACGCACCGAAGTGTGTCGTCTGTATTTTCTGTGTTGCCTCGCGCTGTTAGCATGCGCTGATCTGCGTGACACGAACTCGATGCCAATGTTTTGCTTTGATTAATCACCAATGATTCAGTCCTCGTTGCGTGCGCTCACTGGCAAATATATCCTAACTTCTGTGGTGCTTGGGTGTGAGCTGACGCTGCGACCTTGTTAGCACCAAATATCTTCATTTCGTTTCGGTATCAAATGTGACAGACAAGCGAACGGCAATTTTGCAAGACGGATGGCTAATATCAGTGAAGTGATATATGGGGTTTAACGTCCCAATTCCACCTTAATAATATGAGAAATGCCGTATGGAAGGACTCCGGATATTTCGACCACATGGGTTTTTTTTAACGTGCACTCAAATATGAGCACACCGCCTTACAGTTTTTCGCCTCCATAAAAATGCAGCCGCCGCAGCCGGGATTTCGATGCCACGACCAGTGCGTCAGCCGGTATTTTTAATTATTTATTTATTGCATACTGCCAGCCACCTCTTGGTGGCCAAGGCAGGAGTGATACAAACTTTCATACTTGCAGCCACATATAACACTACACTTCACGGCACAGAAATAAAATCACCACATAACAGGTTTGCGTGGAACATGAATACTCGGCTTACAGGAGCAACACAAGAGCGGTATAGAAAATACAATCCAAATTTTTGTTCCTAACACGAAGTATAAAAACATCATTAGAAGAATTGAAATCTGCACATACGACCAGACAGATTTTACTACAAACAGGCAGTGGCAGCTGATAAGAATGCGTCGGGCGCTGCGATGCTGGTGACGTCATGAGGTAGTTCATTCCAGTCGGAAATTGTTCGTGGAAAGAATGAATATCGCCGAGAATTTGTTTTTGTAAGCGGCACCACTTTGGTGTTATCATGCTCGTTCCGAGTTTTTCGCGATGTATTGCACTGCATGTAAGTGTGAAAGGCGAGTCCCTGAGTGTCCGTACCATCATATCAGCGACCAGTGTTCATATGGTATATACGTGATGGCAGGTGGTAGATATAACTAGCTGAACGTGGCGCACTTGAAATCACACCACAAGTTCGCCGAAATGCACACCGAGAAGTATCCTTTCCTGTGGAAAACAGAAATTTTAGAGACAGAAAGCCAATATGACGTTTAGGGATCTCAAGCATGTCAGCTATTTTTGCTCGACGTAGCCACAGATTTTATCATCATTAGAAGAGAAACAATCTTTTGTTCAAAAGTAGTTTGCTATGAAATGTAGCTTGACGCACCCGAGGCTGGCATAGCAAAATCTTACCAATAATAAACTCAAACTTATCTTCAATGCCGTATTTGACTTCTCCGGTCATCTTGTGCACAGCTACATTCAAAGCAATTACGAAGCACTTTTACACTTTTTATACTTTTTACTCCGGTCATCTTGTGCACAGCTACATCCAAAGCAATAACGAAGCACTTTTACACGCACATTTTACAGCAACCTACGTAATATTGCATTCCTCATTGTGTATCTGACACAGTCGGCTACGCAATATTTGAAGTAGGACGTCCTGAAAAATCTCAAACAGACATTCTCATCCGCTGCACGAGCAGCATTGACGGGCTTTATGGACTGCGTTGGCTTATGTATTGCTTTCTAAGCATCATTGAGTGATTACACATTTTACTTCCGCATTTACAACGACTAGTGACGGAATCTTAAACGAATCCGAAAGCATTGCAATATCGAGCCTTATGTGGAATGAATTGCCTAATCAAGATTTGTTTGGTTCTGGCTGATAATAACTTGCCTACTACCGCCCTGTTCTTTGCCTTATCTTGTTGTGCAAAAAAATTCTTTAGAAGGGCAGTTTTCTGCGGTGTCCAAAGAGGCCTCCTCTTGTGCGCAGACGTAGGGAGATGCGCTCAGAGACGCTTTCAAGACTCGGGCGACTAGTTACCACCATATTATTTTGTACGTAGAACTGCACGTACGATCAGTCGGGTAAAATTTTGTGCATTCACATAAGACAGCGAGTGAAATCGCGGACAGGAGAAGACGTTTGTGGTGTTGTGATTTTATTCTTGTGTCTGACCCCAGTATTCAGAAATGCTCCTCGACTAGACTTTCACCCTTCACTTGACAGAGTTGAGCACTGCATCGCTGCTCGGCTGAAAATGATGCTGGGCTTCTAAAAATTGCAGCAGGTTATCGCGAATATGCAGTGATTTGCCATGCGTGGAGACGGCAATCTCATTCGCTTTCGCAAGCGAAGGTGAAGTGTTGAGTGAAGGGACGTTCTAGAATACGTTGGTGAGTTTTCCGCCCTGTTTTTTTATAATACGTAAAACTAAATCTTCTCTCTGTTATTCTTTTACTTCCTGCAATTACTTCTTTCTTGCTGTGACAGTGCAACAGATAACGGGCAACATACTAAATGGTAGTATGCTTAGTTTGAACTTAGGTTATAATAATTCTACTTATAGTGCGCTTAAAGATCTCGTTTGTTATTGTACTGAAGGCGCGTGCTTTTCTGATACAACATGCACGAGTAATATAACATAGTAAAGCGCTTGTCTGTAGATCTTCTCTGGTTTCCCGTCTTGAGTTATCGCTGTACGTACTTCATTAGGTACGAGGACTCCATTTCAATCGACACAGTCTTGCAATTTTTAATGCCCCTCATAAATGTTGCCACGTTATACACAACGCTTTCTTTGAGAGAAATGAATTCGATGACTTCCTGATATCGCTTCCTTGCTGTGACGCACAACACAAAACAGGTACTATAGTAAACGGAAATATGCTTAGTTTGAACTCAACGTGGGATGGTTCTTTGCAGTTTTCGGCATAGTGGCCTGACACTCCAGATTGTGCAGAAGTTTTGTGACCACGACAGCTTTGCGAGCCGCTGACATACCTCTCGCATTTAAAACAACGACGTGGGTTAGGTATATATGGCCTGGTCAAAGTCTTTGTGTACTAAGTTTGAATAGTTTCTGGCAGATTACTGGAAGCGAACGTGAGTATTAGGTGTTTTGTTGGCGTTTCCTAGTTGTCTCTTCTGATGATGATTCTTTGTATAATGGTTACATTCTGACTCTTCCACCCCTCCAGGAGTATCGCTTTGGTCAGGCCAAGCAAATCAGCGTCAGACACCACTCCACGAGTTTAATTTTTTGCTCTGTGTGGTGTTACAGTGATTGGAGTGTCCCAAAAGTTGAAAGATTGGGTTTTTTCCTTCGTTGATTTCAGGCGGTTTTTTTTTTCTTGAACTCCGACGAGGAGGTCTCCGCTGGACATTTTGGTAACTTTGTACTCGGCCCCAAGAGTTTCTGTAAGACACCTGGCTACTACAACGGAGGATACAGTTCTGGTTTGCTTGCCACTTTTTTCACTATATATGACAATAAACTGGGGGAAGTTTTAATTTGAACAGTTGAAAAAACCAATGTCTTCGGTGCGTACGCAGTTTAAGGTGGTATGATTACCTAACAGAGGAAAAGGTCTATGTATGCTTGTTTAATTTTCTTCAGAAGCGTTGGCGTCCACCCACCGTGCAGCCCAACGCAGGGACGCTTCAAGTTTACGGATGCTCAAACCTGCAGACTCCAGCCGTACAATGCTACTATAACCCAATGCTCCCAGACCAAGGTAAGCTATGCGCGAAGGGTTAATCATAGCCGCCAAGAAGTTTGGCAATAAACGCAAGAAAGTAAAAGGCAGGGCAAATGAAAAGTGAGAGATAAAGACAAAGATCTAGGGACAGACAGAGATAGGAAAAGGCGGCTGCCAATTTCTCCTGGGTGGGTCAGCCCAGGGGTGCCGTCTACGTGAAGCCAGTGCGAAAGGGGTGTGGTGAATCTGCCTGGGGGCCTGAAAGGTCATATCACTCAGCGTCGGCTGAACCACAAGAATCCTCTTTTACGCGGACACGGCTCAACCAGGCACAGCCAGGCGTTGTAGAGGCCGAAACCCCCTGTTACCTCGGTTCCATGGTATCATTACACACCAAACGCTTGCTTTCCCAGACACCCCTGCGGGGACCACTTTTAAGACGGAAACATGGCATATGTAAAATTTAACTAGACGTTCTGCGACACAATTCAGCCGGAAGTCGCATCCTTTTACCTGTCTATTTTCATACTAATTACAATTGTACATTCCACCGTAGATTGGAAATGAAAATTACCTTAATGACTATTTAGTAGGCGTAGCCAATTGACAAGAAAGCAACGATTCTGTATGCGAAGCATCTGTTTATTGCTACGTTGTAAGCAATTACAGACAACAAGTTGACGCCTACCTCCTATCTATGAAGCGTTCACTTGCGTGGTATGGTCATATTCTTACAGTCTGGACGGTAAGTAAATATGCCACTTCCAGCTACACGACGAAAGTGTCTTCCGCAGTGTCGATCAGGAACAGTGTCAATGTAAGCGTTTCTAACGCGAAGTTCGTAATAAGTCACTCCATCTATGAAAGAAAGGAAAAAAACGTAAAGAAAAAACTAAACGAAGGCAGCCACAGTCGTGCCCCATAAAACATCCAAATTGATATGTGAATTGTATTGAAGGTGTCGATCCATTTATTGTCGTCTGGAAAAAATTATACAGAGCAAACAAAAAAAACATCCTAATGAACGACTTAAGGATCATCACTTCAGCATATTTATATCTATCAGGGGCCTTCTAGGCTTCTGTTGCAGGGATTGTGGATGCAAACGATTGTTTTCCAAAAAACAGTACTAGTGTAGTGGAGCATACGCACAAACGCGTATGCGCCTTCGGAAGACAACAAAAAGCCCGTGCTCTGTTTGCGCGAGAGTTTGTGCCGCCTCTGCCAGACTTGCCGTACGCCCACTTTCCGTTGCGACCTCGCTGCGACTTCTCGGCTCGAATAAACGTCATCACATTTGGTGGAGGGTGCTGAGATCCCCAAGAAGACCTGGAGCTCCGCTCTCGCAAGTTGCCTGAAAGACTACCGCGAAACATGACTGACGCAGTCGCCCACCAGCCCGTCCCAGCCCAGCCAGCACCATCGGCTGCCCCGTCGACCTGCCCCGGTGCTACCCGTCAGCGGGACCCACCAATCTTCAGCGGCAGTGGTGAGCAAGACGTCGAAGACTGGCTCTCCTTGTACGAACGCGTGAGTGCCAGCAACAAATGGGACAACGACTCCAAGCTTGCCTATGTCATCTTTTACTTGGCTGACGTCGCCAAGCTATGGTTCACCAACCGCGAAACCGCCATCCCCAGCTGGTCCACCTTCAAGACCCTCGTGACCGAAGCGTTCGGCCGACCAGAGGTCCGCAAGCTCCGCGCTGACCAGCGTCTGCGCCACCGAGCCCAGCAACCTGGTGAGACCTTTACTAGCTATATTGAGGATGTGCTCGACCTCTGCAGGCGTGTTAACTCATCCATGCCTGAAGAAGAGAAAATTCGACATATTCTCAAAGGCATCGAGGATGGCGCATTCCAGATGTTGCTGGCGAAGAGCCCGACCACGGTGGCGGTCCTCGTAAGCCTGTGCCAGAGCTTCGATGAATTGCGTCGTCAGCGTTCCATCGCCCGACAGAGTGTTCCATCACCAGATTCCATCTCGGCCGTCACACTCGCCAATGGCAACGTTCACCAAGGAACTCTGTCGAACCAGATTAAAGACTTCATCAGGGAGGAAGTCGCCCGACAGCTTTCCCTGCTGCCGCATAGTGACGCGCCCACGACAAGCCTCCCTTCGAATATGCAGCAGGCCATACGCACTGAAATTTGCAATGCACTCCCTACAGTTCCGGCCTCTTACCCGTGCACTTCGGTGCCATCTGATCTCTCAACTGCTGGCTACGCACCAACTGCGCCGCCTTCACCTCTCAGCTACGCAGCTGTGGTCGCGCGGCCCCCACCGCATCCAGTCGCCTTATCGGCTCCAACTCCTCCGGCAGCGCCACCGGTTTACAGGCCCTCACCTCGCTTTTTCCGTCAATCTAATGAGTGGCGCACCCATGACAACCGTCCTATCTGCTTCGCGTGTGGCATCGCTGGCCACATTGCACGCTACTGCCGCCGCCGCTCCACACCTGCGTACGCCTCCGTTGGAACTCCTACCTATGCGTCGCAGCAGGCCACCTCGTCTGCATACGAACAGAGGCACTCTGACTCGGATCGTCGCCCATAAACTTCTCGTTTCCCATCTCCTCGTCGCCGATCACCATCTCCTATGCGTCGTAGACCACCTCCTGAGGAGGGAAACTAATCAGTGCAGTTCCAGAGGCAAGAACTGCAACTTCTGCGCAATTATCAAGGCCTCCATTTTCGCCGCGAAATGTTGTTGATGTCAATGTTGAGGGAGTCGCCACACAAGCGTTAATTGATACTGGGGCCGCCGTTTCTGTGATGAACGCAAAATTTTGTCGCAAACTGAAGAAAGTGACCACATCTCTCTGTGGCATCGTGCTGTCCACGGCTAGCGCGCAACGCATTCAGCCCTTGTCTGTGTGTACGGCGCGCGTCGTCATCCAAGACGTTTTATACATCGTCCAATTTTTCGTACTACCATCTTGCTCTCATGACCTCATCCTGGGTTGGGATTTCTTATCAGGTCATGAAGCTATCATCGATTGCTGCCGTGCGGAAGTGTCCCTAGTGCCAAATTGTGAGTTTCCATCGCTCGACCATTCACCACTGCTCTGCAAACTCATCGCTGACGACGACATCACCTTGCCTACGGAAGCTTCAGTCCCTATTAGCCTTTCATGTGTGGCGCAACCTGACGCCACGGTGGTATTTACGCCATCCCCTGTTTTTACTGAACGCAAGGGCATCGTGCTCCCATTTGCCGTTCTTACGATTGCGTCTGGTTTAACCGTAATGGTGGTTACCAACCACTGCAACTACCCCATTGGCTTGCTTCGTGGTGAAACGTTAGGATATGTGCAACCTGTCGACCATATCAATGATATTATTCTTCCCGACGAAACGCCATGTCAGATTGCCGCAATCACTCAGGCGTCTGAGCCATCAAGCTCACCAGCCTTCGACGATGCTATTGACGCAGACCTTCCCCCCTCGCATCGCAGCCAACTTGTTGCTCTCCTTAACAAGTTTCGCTCTTCTTTCGACTTTCAGAAACCTGCTTTGGGCCGCACCACGACTGTCACTCATACTATTGACACCGGCTCACATTCGCCTCTGCGACAGCGTCCTTACCGCGTTTCTGCCGAAGAGCGCCGCGTCATTACGGAGCAAGTAGATGACATGCTTAAACGTGGAGTCATACAGCCTTCTCAAAGCGCTTGGTCGTCACCCGTGGTTCTGGTAAAGAAAAAAGATGGCACCGTTCGATTTTGCGTGGACTATCGCCGCTTAAACAAGATTACAAAGAAAGACGTCTACCCGCTACCACGAATAGACGATGCTCTTGACTGTTTACAAGGCGCCGAGTACTTCACATCCTTGGATCTGCGTTCTGGGTATTGGCAGGTGCCAATGGCTGAATGTGATCGCCCTAAAACAGCCTTTGTAACGCCAGATGGCCTGTATGAGTTCAAAGTCATGCCATTTGGGCTCTGCAACGCGCCTGCGACGTTTGAACGCATGATAGATACCATATTGCGGGCCCACAAGTGGAAAACTTGCTTGTGTTACCTAGATGACATCGTAGTCTTTTCAGCTGATTTCCCGACACATCTTCGTCGTCTCCACGAGGTTCTGGCGTGTCTAGCTTCTGCAGGCCTACAACTTAACACCAAGAAGTGCCACTTCGCAGCCCGCAAACTAACCATCTTGGGACATGTCATCACAAGAGACGGTGTTCTTCCGGACCCCGATAAGCTTCGAGCTGTCGCTGACTTCCCCATGCCCACATCACTGAAAGCCCTAAGAAGTTTCGTTGGTCTTTGCTCTTACTTTCGTCGCTTCGTGCGCAACTTCGCGTCCATCATTGCACCTCTGACTAGTCTGCTTTCCAACAGCAAAGGTATATCTGCATGGTCACCTGCATGTGACGACGCATTTCACCAGCTGCGCCGCCTGCTGACCTCGCCACCTATTCTTCGCCACTACGACCCTACTGCTGCCACAGAAGTTCACACTGATGCAAGCGGCGTTGGTCTTGGCGCAGTTTTGGCACAACGGAAAGGTACCCAAACCGAATACGTAGTCGCTTATGCAAGTCGCGCTCTTAAGAAGGCTGAATTGAATTACTCCGTGACAGAGAAGGAGTGTTTGGCCATAATCTGGGCGCTTACGAAGTTTCGCCCGTACCTTTACGGCCGTCCTTTCGATGTGGTCACAGACCACCACGCTCTATGTTGGCTGTCCACCTTGAAAGACCCGTCCGGACGTCTGGGCCGTTGGGCACTTCGATTGCAGGAATACGACATCCGTGTCGTATATCGTTCCGGTCGCAAGCATGCGGACGCCGATGCACTTTCCCGATCGCCATTAACACCAGATGTGGCTTCTCTGTCACCCCCTTTTACCACCTTGTCACCACTCGACAGCACTGACATGCTTTCGGAGCAGCGTAAAGACCCATACCTTGCCTTGTTAGTCGACTACCTTACCGATCCATCTTCTGTCCCTTCCACGAGAGCGGTACGCCGGCAAGCAGCCCACTTTTCCTTACGTGACAACATTCTGTACCGCCGCAACTACACGCCTGGTGGTCGGAAGTGGCTCCTTGCTGTCCCAACTCATATGCGCTCTGACATCTGCATGAATTTCCATGCAGATCCCCAAAGTGCTCACGCAGGTGTCCTGAAAACCTACGAACGGCTGCGCCAACGCTATTACTGGCGAGGAATGTATCGTTTTGTGCAGAAATACATTCAGTCTTGCACCACTTGCCAACAGAACAAAACACCTCCGCGGCACCTTACCGGCATGTTACAGCCGCTGCCGTGCCCGGCTCGCCCATTCGACCGCGTGGGTATAGACCTCTATGGCCCACTCCCATATAGTAGCTCTGGAAACCGGTGGATTATTGTCGGAGTCGATCATCTGACACGCTACGCTGAGACTGCAGCTCTACCGGCAGCGACCGCCCACGAAGTTGCACTCTTCATTCTCCGCAGCTTCATTCTACGCCATGGTGCTCCGCGGGAATTACTCAGTGATAGGGGTCGAGTGTTCCTGTCGGAGGTCATCCAAGCTATCCTCGCTGAATGCAACATTATCCACCGGAAATCTACCGCATACCATCCACAGACAAATGGTCTTACTGAGCGGTTCAACCGCACACTTGGCGACATGCTGAGGATGTACACCTCCTCCGACCACACTAACTGGGACGCTGTATTGCCCTTTGTTACCTTCGCTTATAACACCGCGACGCAAGCGACTACCGGTTTTTCTCCGTTCTTTTTATTGTACCGGCCGCGAACCTTCCCACCCCCTTGACACTATACTACCGTACCGCCCTGATGCATCTGAGTGCTCCCCGCTTTCGGAAGTCGCCAGATACGCTGAAGACTGCCG